TTTTTAAGGTATTAATTTTTCGGCTTCATTTTTTTTGACTTTTTGATTTTTCAATTTTTCCATTCTTCAGATTATTTATTATTCAAATTTTCGCTTTTACAGTTTCACAATTTTTCAATTTCACGATTTTCAATTTTTCCATAACTCAATTTTCCGATGTTTCAATTGTACGTTTTTCCAATTATTTTTCTCCTCTTCAATTTTACGATTTTTAAATATTTCGATTTTTCAATTTTTCAATTTTTGATTTTTCTAAATTCTCAATTTTCTTCACTTTTTCTTTAATTTTTTAATTTTTCAATGTCGATTCTTCAATTTTTCAATTTTGAAAATTTTAGATTTTTCGATTTCTCGATTTTTCATTTCAGTTCTTCGATATTTCAATTTTTCATGTTTTCGAACTTTTCAAATCTTTCGATTTCTTAATCTTTCTCTTTTTCGACTTCCGGTTTTAGATTTTGTGTTATTCAATTTTTCGTTTTTTCAGATTTTCGATTTTTTAATTCTTCATTTTTTAAATTTTTCTATTTTTCAATGTTTTGATTTCCCGATTTATCGAGATTTGGATGTTTCGACATTTTGATTGTTCAGTTTCTCGATTTATCAGTTTTTCAATTTTTAAATTTTCTATTTTTTATTTGGGCCTATTCGTTTTCTCCGTTTTTCCTTTTTTCCGTTTTTTGGTTGTTTTACTTTTCCGCTTTTAGATTTTTCGATTTTCCAATTTTTTAACTTTTAACCTTCCGTTTCTTCGATTTCGAAACGTCCAGATTTTTGGAAAAAAAATCAAAATTAGGAAACAACATTTTGATATTTAATTTTAAATCTACAAAACCGAATGCTTTGAAATCTTGCAGATGGTTTACAGTTATGATAAGGATGATAAAATTTTAATCACAATATATTCAGTTATCCCCTCCAAAAAATTGATGACGTCACCCCAAAATTTTGCCGAATAAATCCTATCTAAAATGTACAAAATATGATGAGTCTCTTCGTGTGATTTATCAATCCATTCATATTTTTTGGATATGCATATACAGGTGACCCAAGAAAATTAAAGAATGCGTGAATTTATTTTATTGATTTAATCAGGAACTACAGAACCGAATGCTTTGAGATTTTGAAAATATTTTAAGATTATAAAGAGCATAGTAAATTTTTAATCAAAATATATTTGCTTATCCCCCCTAAAAAGTGGATGACACCACCCCAAAATTTTGCTGAATAAATCCTATCTAAAATCTACAAAATATGATGAGTCTCTTCTTGTGATTTATTATTCCATTCATAATTTTTGGATTTGCATATACAGGGTGACCCAAAGAATTAATGAATGGGTAAATTTATTTTATTGATTTAATCAATAACTACAGAACCGAATGCTTTGAAATCTTGCAAATGTTTTAAGGTTATAAAGATCATAATAAATTTTTAGTAAAAATATATTTGCTTATCCCCTCCAAAAAATTGATGACGTCAGCTCAAAATTTTGCCGAATAATCCTATCTAAAATGTACAAAATATGATGAGTCTCTTCTTGTAATTTATCATTCGATTTATATTTTTTGGATTTGGATATACAGGGTGACTCAAAAAATTTAATGAATGCGCAAATTTATTTTATTGATTTAATCAGGAACTACAAAACCGAATGTTTTGAAATCTAATGCGAAAAAAAACATAATAGTTTCGATTTCTCGATTTTTCGTTTTTCGGTTTTTAAATTTTAGATTTTTGAATTTTTCGATTTTTTAAATTTTACTTTTTCGATTTTCCAATTTCTCGGTTTTACCAGTTTTTTTTATGTTTCGATTTCTTGACATCTTGATATTTCGATTATTAGATTTCTCGATTTTTCAGGTTTTCAAATTTTTGTTGATTTTGATTTTTCATTTTTTTTTCTCAGTTTTAAAATCATATAATGTATCGAAAATAACCGCAAAAATTGTGACTAAAATCAATTGAAATTTCACACAAAGTAGAAGACAATCTTTCCAAAACATAAAAATGACTACATTTTGCCGAAAAAAAATCCATTGAATTATTACGATTTCAACCATATTGTTAATTTAAAGCGTTTTGCTAGTATAAAACACAATTAAAGAATTACTTCTTAGTTAAACAAAAAAATAGTTGCCTGTCAAAATCGAGTGAAACATGTGACATGTGATATTATACTATTTGTAAATAAAACCATCTAAATATGTATCACAAATATTCACTTATTCGTTATAAAATCTAAGCAATCAACTGTCACTCAAAAATTATAGTCCAAACCACTCACATCGCTTATGAACACTTAGAGTCCACAGTGGCCTGAACGCGCTCTGGTCTGTAGATCAAAGAAGTTTTCATGCGATGATTTGTTGTCAACAACGTTCCAAACTTGTGGATACTAAATATCGTCGAAACATTGTAAAGGAATTCTATTAGAATTAATCAAATACAAATTATATTTTCTGGCATAGAAGAATTGCAGATCTTTGACTTGCATAATGTTCCTAAAATTTGATTTTTGGCCAAAAAATTTCCATGTGAACTCCTAAAAACGCATGCAAATTGGTATAATTTTCTTGAAATAATCACCCAAAGACAAATTTAATTGCATAGAAGAGTGCCTCAATAAATACCTGCATGTGGATTCTCTCTAGACCAACACCTCATATTTTGTGAGTTCACTTAATCATCAAGTCGAAACCACGGTTCATCTATGAAAAATGTGTTGTCTAAAATTTTGTCGTTGTTGAGATTGTCCAAAAACTAGTTACATTAATTTCTGCGAGGTTGAATATCTCGTGGAACTTTATAGGGAAACATTTCCAAGTTTCTCTGGACCGGTGGTGTTTTGTTTTTGGAATAATTAAAAGAATGTCGAGGATTCTTAGTGTTTTAATTTTGAACAAGTTTGAAAAATGTTTTAAAGAATCTCGGGTATACCTGGTGTTCAATTTTTGAAATAATTTTAAAGCATCTCGGTGACCTCAGTTGATTTGAATTAGAAAATGTCTGAAGAATCTCAGGGGCTTCTAGCGTTTTGATTTTCAAAAAAAAATAAAAGAATCTCGATGATTTCTGTCATCTAGTTTTTGAAAGAATATTAAAAATTCTTGAGGCCGTGTGGTGTTTTGATTTCAAGAATATCTGAAAAAGGTTGAAAGAACCTTGGAAACCAGTGGTGTTTTGATTTTGAAAAAGTTTTTGAAAGAATTTTCCAGAATCTCTGGGGCCTCAGATGTTTTGATTTTGACAAAGTTAAGAATCTCGCACCCTTGGTATTTGTTTTCTAAAAAACGGAAGTTATTTGATTCGACCAATTTTTCAATTTTGTGCTAGCAAGAATTGTGAAGTTGAAGAAAAGATAAAAAAGGAGTACACAGTTGAGCATAGAAGACATATTTTTAGCGATACCAGAACCAAATTAATGAGATGTTGAAGAGCAAACAGCAAAGGTAACAGGAAAACAGAAAATTAATTGCCTTATTGTATAAAAGTAAAAAATATCCAACTAAATGTTTGCTATTTAATTAGCGGAAAATATAAAGGGCGTACACATACACCCAGATTTTCCATTTTCACGTGTTTAATATGGACGTATTTTTGACATTACGCAGCTAACAAGCCTCACAACCAGCTGCTTATGTGTGGTTTATATATTTATTTGTAGCCTTTGGCACGTGGATTTAGGACTTATGACAAGTATCGCTTTTGCCTATTCAGAATCAGTACACCCAGTGGTGAATTTCCTTTGAGATGTTTCCATCGAAGAGAGTTTTATTACACAACTAATTTTAGCGACGTTGAATGAAGCTGCAAACGGCAGAAAGAAATTTATTTCCAAGTTACGGACAAATTTAGCCTCACAGGATACTAATTCGAATGAAACCTTTCCGTAAACACAGATTGTGTTCTGTTTTGTTATTTAAACTTGAGTCGAATTTATGTTAAGGCGAATGTTTAGTAATTAAACAAGCGATTAATTTTAATTGAAGAACCCCAGCGATTGTTTCCTTTTTGTTAAGGGACAGGTCGTCAGTGCCAGAGCTTTCACCATTTTTGGAAACTGATTCAAATGTAATAATGTTTTACATTTTTTGACTTTGTTATTGATTATTGAAAAATGCTCTTGTGACATACCGAAAGGCTCGCTAACCATTAAATTGTGGTTAATATTTCATCCCTTTTCCGGTTTCAGCATTTGACCTTTAGGTTGTGTATGCGTTTAATTTTCCACACAACCCACGTCGATAAAAGCAAATCTATGACAAATAAACCGATAAACTGCTGAAGAGTGGGAGAGTTCACTGAAGCACGTACCAATCTAGACCTTTTTTTTATAAAATATATTAATATACTTAATGTCATCTTATGTACACTCTATTTATGGAATTAAGCTTTTTTTAAAGATAAATTCCTGTTCCAACACGAAATTTGTTATTGACAGACAGTATCAGCACAAAAGAAGACAGTCATAAGGAATATATCTACCTAAAATGAATAATTCATTAAAGAGGTTTTATTTTCAGTAAATAGAAATCTAAAAATGGAAGCCTGTGACAGCACTGAAATTAAACGACTTTCATCTCTTACTTTACTCATTTTGCAATGAATTAGAATCAAATTTGTTATCAGTCACAGTCACAGTACCTGATGATTTGTATTTGAACGAAATAGTAATTTAACTTGAACGAAATAAATTTACACGTCAATAAACTGGAAAATTCATACAAATGACACATAAAAGAAGAACGAAAACCAATTTTAAGATTCTTACGCCAGATTTTAGTACTAGTGGATTTAATTTAAAATACTATACGTGCGTCGCATCGAAACCCTCGGGATCCATACTTTGCATTTATATTATTTCTGTTAGCACGATATTGAACTCAACTTTAAGTAACTTCGCCGGATATTTTTCACATACGTTTCGGGGAAAACTCCGATCACTGTAAATTCTCGTTCTGCTAGACACTTTGATGAAAATATGGTTTTTGTTGCAGCCAGACCAGGTTCGGATGAGGAAAGGGGCTACTTTGGACCGTGGAAAACTTGCAAATTGCGCTTGTACAACAGGGTATGGTGTGGAGCGGAGACGTCCCGATTTAGGCCATCGAGTAAGTATCTGATTTGAAATGGAAATAGGTGGGAATCTACATTTTCTTACTTTAGTTGTACTCATAAAGTGCAAGTCGCGATTGCGAGGTCTCAGGAGAGAGAAATCAATTGAAACGTGATCAGGGCAATCAGAATCCCATCAGATGCATTTAAATTGTACTAAAATAAAGGGAACGTAAAACATTCTGCTTACTGGTTGGTTTGTTTAGGCTAGGGATCGAATGGCTTTTCTAACGAGGGTTTCATTTTCGGAACGCGATATGTGTAAAGGAAACGGAAATTATTGAAGCTAATTTTATAACTTAATTTATTTATTTTATGCTGTACTTGTAGCTTATGAATCCGCTTCGAAAATATGTAACATTGTATACTAATATAGGAGCAACATTTCCTAAGCGATCCATGACTCAGATATAATTAACCACATACCCAACGCGCATGCGCATGGTCAATGCTAAGTTGAGATGAAATAAATTACTAGACTTCAGTGCTAATAAATTTCTGTTACGCCACTGTATTCAGAGCTTTAAATGATAAATAAGTTGCATGCAGTTAAATTATACCCACTTTATCGACAGTTTCAAACAACAAAGAATTTACATAATGTTAAGTTAGCCACACTTTATCAACAATTTTACACAGCAAAAAATTTACTTGAGATTAAATCAAGTGTTATTTCAAGTGGTTCGTTACATCAAATGGCAATCACAGATTACCTCCGCCCACATCACCTACAAACAAACAAAAAGTAAACACATATTCAATACGATCACAAAGTCAGCTGGTTTCGGAAACGCTCCGCTTTAGAGAGAATAAACGTTTAATTCGAAAAGCAAAATATTATTAAACTTGTAAAAGAATATTTGCAATCTTAAGTAAAAACGTCCAGAAACTTTGGTTATATATAACTTGACAAACAAAGAGTGAAGCCGGAATAAGTGCATTTCCTAACACGTGGTTTATACGAACAACAAGAAGCAGTTGAAAATTCTTAACAGGAACTGTGAATTTACAGACAATAAACAGAAATTGGCCCCACTTGTCGACATCGGCGAACTTTACAAGATTTCAGATTAGAAAACCATTAATAATTAAATATGCTGTCGCCGTCGGTATGATTAATTTTCGTTTAAACAATGACTGTTTTATGAAACTACAAAGTAAACTTAACCTACCCATATTTTCACCTCGTGTTTACACTAGCACCGTTACAGCAGAAGTCTGCTCTCGCATGCCTTTTTGCCCTTATCAACCCTTCACCAACTAACTAGCAACTAATTCCCTAGGACTGGTTACCAAACTAAAGTTGCACACGGTTTTTTTGACGTTCTTTTTTTTTTCTCAGCGCAAAATTTAAATTTAAACTGGGACACCACAACATCAATAATAAAATTGGTTTAATATTTTTCGTTTTTGTCTGTCAGTTTATAGATATCTGTAATAATGAAAATTTATTTAATAGATAATTTCTAAAAAATGGTCTAGTGTTTAGACAGAATTTTGCGAAATTTAATTTTTTCTGATAACTCCTAGAAGTTAAAAAATATAGATAATACCAATCACAGTGTGCATTTACTATGCAACATCCTATACATCTGTTTGGAATCAATGCAAATATTTGAATATCACAAATTTAATAAAAACAAAGCAAAATCCGACTTAAGTAACTGGATGCAAATACACAAGTTATTAGGGGCGTGTGGTGGCAGATTTTTAAAGTTACGGCAGTTAACAGGAGCACAACTGGGCATTCTAGCATAAGCGGAGTTTGGGGCTACCGGTCTGGGGCTGTTCTCCCCCCACGACGGTGATTCTATCTATCACAAAGCCTACCCGCACGCATATCTCCATTACGAACGTGTCCTGCGAAACTAGGCCGCTACGATCGCAGATCCGTAGTTGGGTCTCGGCTAGCACGAAGCCGACAGCGTTACAACACCGGCGATCGCCCCCTGACTCCATACAAGCCCGCGGACTTGTGCAGGTGACGTTTTCTGTGTTATTTAACCTCAATTCCATTTTTAAATATTCAATCTCTTATAACTCTGATATTAACAACAACTAAACAAGTGTTAAAATTTTAACGAACGATAAACAACATTTAAATTCGCCATACAATCTTGTGAAAATTTAAACAACAAATAATTCTTATGTGAGATAAAATTGGACATCAAACAATTTATATGATAGAAACATTCATAAACAAATTATTTACAAAAGAAAACTTAGCAAGGATTTATGAAACAAAAGATCTGGCGTGAAATCAACTTGTACAAATAGAAATATTATGTGAGGTTAAAACTGTAGAACATGAAATTTACGTTCAATTAAATATTATACAACAAATAAAATTACTGAAGTTCAAACTGTGAGATTGAGAAATATTGTACGAGGTGGAAAATTGCAAAGTTAACAAAATTTACATGAGATTAAAATTTGCCACACTTTATCAACGATTGAAACAAAGAGTTTACATTATGTCAAATTATATCATGATCTAAGTGATTGGTTACTTCAACAAACAATTTACTTTGAGAGTTTAAAACACCGCAAACTGGTTACCCCAACAAAACACATAATAAACAAACACAAAAATATCCAATCATCGCTCTGAGGGAAATTTTAGAATCGTTGCGAGGAGTTGCCTCGATGTATTAATCATGATAACGATGATAACCACCTAAGGGAGGAAATTATCATAACTCCCGCCAGTTCGCAGTATAATGAACTTGTTTAACTGCCGTAAATGAACTATTATCAATCTTGTGTGAAGAATTAAGAAGTGATATAATGTAACACTTACGTATATGCATCCAGAAACCTATTCGTAATGAAACAACAAAGGTGATTTCCTGACTAAGTGAATCTCATGAAATCTTCTAGTAATTGCTTTATTTAAATAATCCTGATTGTTAAATTGTGTTTGCCCTGGCTGATGATTAAGAAAAACTAACTTGATTGGTGAGTTTACAAACAAAGAACCAAATTTACAGCACGTGTTTCGCGTTGAACGGAAGTCCGCAAATTTTCGATTAAAAGGCCGCAAGAATTAACCGTGCGGGTTGGGTAAGGTTTGTTGTCAATCGTAGATTGTCGTCCCATTTTATTAACTACCAAACCAACTAATTTAAACCTAGCTCTTACCACGTGGTTACATTCATACAAGTACATTCAGACAGACGCTACGCCATGCCGCCCTTTGTCTAACCCTCTAACTAAAAACCCCTAGCGCTAAATCGTCCGACTACCAAGCAAGCATTTCCGTGCACCAGGTTGCCTATGTTTAACGATTTCCTTTTTTGTGATTGAATTTTTTTTTCTCTTTCAAATTAAAATTATTCAAGTGTGATTTCGCGCCGCTGTTAATTAATGTCAGCGCGAAAACTTTGATTTAAATTCGGTCACCACAACGTATAAAATTACAATTAGTAGTTAGGGAAATTATTTGTGTAATAAAACGATAGACAGACCGTAGACAAACGGAAATGGAAGACCTATTTTTTTCCCTATTGGAATACTTCCTTGCTCTCGGGAAGTAAACGTAGTTTTGAGTCGTCAAATTTTGCACAGTAATGAATCAATTTATAAAATAAAGTTATTTATACAATTTCCCTAACTTCGTAGCACGATCAGTCTCGGATGGATGATTATTTAAAGTTCTTTGACTTTTAAGAATTAGTTAACAATTTTGAATTAAGCATTATAGAACAGAACTAAAATTTATTCGCTCATTTCCCTTTAAAAACCCAAAAATAAAAAGAAATCAGCGTGGGAAAATCTTCCTTCCTGATGTACTCGTATACATAATATTAGTTCTGCTTCGGAGGTGAGGGAACTTCTATGTAAATAATTTTTTATAACCTATCTTGAATTTGACATTAAAAACACAAAAATGTACGATTATTATTCATAAAATTCTATTTCTAATGCAATTTTGTTTTGTTACGTATAATCAATCCACACTCAATCAAACGTACTACTAATCATTTTGTTTATCGACAAAATATGAAAATAAATTTACTCACGTTTACAATGCTACGTGGGAAACTATGGTTTTCTGATAACAAGTTCTTTTTGATTATTTTTATCCTTTAAAACAGGTTTTTGGATTAGTCGAACCACTTTTTTTTGCATTCAACCTTATATTGTTGATTGTTGAAAAAACACTATCAAAGTTAACCATGGATACTTACATGAAAGTTTGTCTCTGACTGATAGATATACAAACAATGTGTTTATTCAGTGTCTTCGTTACAAAATGAACTCGATCAGGTATGATCGGAGTTTTTTTTTTCGAATATTAGTTTTCGTGGTTTTTGAAGACAAGAAATTTTGTTGTAATTGTTTATCAATAGGTCAACTAGAAGTATTATTTTTCGATTGTCAGAAGGATTGTTATATGGGAGCGTTTTACAACACTACAAAATTTTGCATATAAAATATATTAAGTTACATTCAGTAATTTGTTTTAGAATCACAAGCTATTGGGCACTTCGGAATCGAATCACTGTCCCAGAAAATCTCGCCACTATTACTTAGATCACTTCACCCACTAGTATTTCCAAATTTTCTTGATAAAAGCTGATAAAAGCTAGTACATAATAGATAGCACAATAAAGTGATGAAATAATAAGTATTTTAATTACTTAACGTTTAAATTTTGCAGGAAATGCTCTTTATCTGGAATGGATTTTACAGAACTTGGATGCTAAACAGCTTCGCAAGGGGTGAATTCACTAAATTTGAATATCAACACCCACACATTTTAATTTATCCGTTTGTATTTTTACCTGTTTAAATAAAATTGATTGTACAATTAACACATTGCATATACTTCGTAAACTGTTTATTAAAAAAAAATATGATAATGCATCAAAATAAAGTTAAATCATATAATTAACAGCTTTTGTAAGCGACAGATGTCTTTTGCAGTTCAATATTGTCGTCGCCTTTCGCAGCAAGTAATTCATTTAAAAATGTCCACGACGCTTGCGAAAAT